ATGCGGACGAAATAGGTAAGTGGCGTCGTTTCCATACACATTTAACTTCACGCGGAAAAAGCGACGCGGTGACTCGCGCAGCGACACGACTGTTCATGCGTTTTGATTTTCAACCGAATCGTATTGAAAAAAATGTTTTCAGCCGAATAATCAATGTATTATACTAGTGTACTAGAATCTACATTACGCAATGTTTAAAACGTTATCAAAAATAAATGCATGAAATTTAATTAAATTTCGTATCAAACCGTAGCCAACAAGTTTTGCGCGTGTGTTTAAATAAGCGATCAGTTCTTAAAATATTTCTCGCGTCACGTATAAATCATGTCTTAACGCGTCATGTATTAACACATAATTTAATATTTATTTATTAATTAGTTACCTCGTTGGTGAAGTCCAGTAGTCCTGTGATCCTATGAGCCGCTTCTGCTTCTCGTCGTTTTATCTTCTCAAAGAAATTCTCTGCAACAGAATCAGGATTCAGGAAATCGGGATCAGGGTGATCAGGATGCTTGATGCTTCTTCAAAGTTCAGGTCCTTTTAGGAGGAAGTAATCGATTCGATGATTTGCGAACTATTCCAGAGTTACGAACTATTCCAACGTTATATGACAGGTAAGCACCTGTCCTCTGGTCGAAGCGCAATAGCGTGAAATTGCGAATTACGCGGGTATTTATACCCTCCGTTCAGACTTGATCCCCACCACTCGCAATCAGCCAATGAGCGCGATGTGGCGCGATGCTCTGCTACAAGCGCGTATTCAAGCGCTGATTGGATCACCGCTAGCTTTCCATTGAAGTATATAAAGCGCGACGCGCAATATTTTCAATAATTTTCAGATTTTGATGCTGTGTGGTTCTTGAGGACAGAGAAAGAAGTCGGCATCTGTCCACGTTTTGTGGACATAGAGGCGCCTTCAAAATAAAGTAACAGCTAAATCCCGGGCATGACTCTTCTCAGGCTTATCTCTGGTTCTAGTTCTTTCGGAATCGATAGCAAGTCCCTAGGCGAATCGTTTTGAGTTGTTGCGCCGGACAGCAGCGATCGAATTGATTTTACTTTACATTTTTACAAAAACACATTTTACAAAAACTTATTGATTTGCAACTGTTCATCATGATTAACACAATCCGTTTGATATCTCGACAAAACCTTTCTCAATTTCGTCGATTTCACAAATGGTAAGATTAAAACCGTCGTGAACGAAATGGTTACATAACCTAAAATTTATCTTATTATTTCTATCAATTATTTTATTATAAAAACTTTGATTAAATTCCAATTAGCTCGAAAAGATACAAGTAATTTTTGCTAAAATTACTTGTAATAATATTTTTAGTTTCTTTTCTTTTATTTCATGTACTTGTTATACAAAGAAATACTTTATTGTATGTAGTGTTGTCCGACAAACGGAATCGAGCGCAACAGCAGCGACAGAAACAATAGCAGTAGCACCACCACCACCTTCTTCGTCGAGTGTTGAGGAGCCGGTACATCCAAAAATTGACAAAATAGCCAATGACATCACTGCTCTCAATCTAATAGAAGTAGCACAGCTTAGCGATTTATTAAAGAAACGATTGAATCTACCAGATGCACCTATTATGCCTGTTGGAGGATTCGTTGCATCTCAGGCTTTGGTAATTGTCGTAATATTTATATGTACCTTATACCAGTCTTGTTTTATGGAACGGTTTTCAAGAATGGAAAGATTTCACTTAATTAGACTAACTCTCCAGAGCTGATGTCAAACTGTGTAACATAGTTTTCCTAGCACAAGATCTGTAAGATCCATTTAATTTATCTTTAAAAAGAATTAAAGACACTAATTTATTTAAAGAATCAAATTACAGCTTGTATAAAAGTTAAACACAAAGTATATTTTAATAAGAAATTCATAGATGTGTAACATAAAAAAAATTAAATTGTTTAACATTGTTTATAAAGAAATTTAAAATTCATTGGATTCAATAGATTCACCATCAGTTCCGGAGAATTAAAAGATAAGTGATAGAAAATAGAATTGAACTTTTTTGTCATACATTAAATCTTTTACTCATAAAATAGTTTAAGCAAACAATTGTAATTTTTAGGAAGAGGAAGAAGTACAAAAGAAAGTACAAACGGAGTTCACCGTTAAGTTAATGGCGTTTGATGAGAAACAGAAGGTAGCGCTAATCAAAGAAATAAAGAGCTTGTTGCCAGACACAAATCTTGTTCAGGTATTGAATCGTAATCTTTGAAAATAATGAAAATAATAGTATTATTATATAAACATTAATTTTCTTATATAAATAGGCCAAAAAATTCGTCGATAGCGCACCCGCAATAGTGAAAGCAGATATAGCAAAAGACGAAGCCGAGACATTGCGAGATGCTCTTACCAAGGTTGGTGCTACAGTTCAAATTATATAAATCGTACGTGTGAATACTCGGGTTACGTAAATATAATGTTACAATAAAAATGTTGTATAATAAAAACATTCACTTACAACACACCTTCTTCCTCTACTTCTACTTTTTAACTATTATTAAACAATTATGTCGTCCTTACTTTTATTGCATATTTAGCGTTAATGGAATTTTTTTCATCGACTGAAAAATTTTTTAATGTTTCTCCTAATATTGTGCGATACCTTGTCTAAAAGAACAATACTGTATTTTAAATATAAAATCTTACACAATATAAAGAAATAATATTAATATATTATATATATTAAATAGTATTATTTTTTTGCAATGCGTTATCACTCCTTGCTGATTTTAGATACTTTATCGCGATTATCTGTGTGGAGTAAATGTTCGCTAATAGAGATAATAAGTGATTAGAGTATATAGGGATAAAAAGTTGGAGTAACAAGAGAACTAAAATAATAATTTATTAACTACATTTGATAGTCAATAAACTGAATATGTTTAATAAGCGAGGTTTAAAACGTTGATCGCTCGAATGTGCGAGCTTGTACTTTTTCCGCGATAAAAAAAAGCACGCAATCAAACGCAGAAAAGTCCATGGTATTCGCGAATTGAACGAATGGCGCTGTGGCAGTCATATCGATAAAGCAAGTGCCGTCTCACATGTTCACTGGGCCCCGTTTCTTCTCGCATTTGCAATTCTCGACAAATTTTTGCAATAATTCGATTCCACACATGTTTATTCCGCTGTGTTCTACGTTCGTCTCGACTACGTGAAAGTGTCGGGAAAAATTCCCACATTCAGGTACGCGGCCGATCGATCGTTAACCGGAACCCAAATCGGGCGACGTCGGCGGCGCGACGGGACGCTACTGCTGGCCACGACTACTGCCACGATGGCCGAGGAGACTGACACAAACGATAACGCGACGATGGAAATAGCGCGAGACATATCGGAGGTGCGTACCCATGCGACGATTAACGGGTTTAGCGGAACCGCGACGATCGGCGACGCGAGTGATCGCGATCGCGCGTCGTGTCGCGCGACAACGATGCTTGATCGTAAAGTTAACCCAGTGTGGGTGTTTCTCGGATTTTGACAGGTCGCTGGCACCGGTGACGGCGACGACGGCGGCGGCGATGGTTCGTCGAGCGCGGCGACGGGTGAGGTGGGTGCGTTGCAGTTCCAGGCGTCGCAGGTGATCGCACGGCTGGAGCAGGCGGTGGAACGGGAGGCCGACGGCGGCGGCACCACGTGGGACAACCCCTTAGGATTCCTGACGCAGCCGAAGAAACCGGACGAGATATTGGCGTTGATACAGGTGTGCTGGTGCGGGCCGCGTTTTACGCGCCTACGTTCGGTCAGCGGAAACCGGCGCCTGCGATTGGAGCACGGCCAACCTGATTACGCGCTGCTCGTTGGTCGCTGCTGATAACGCGACTTGCCACGATAATTACATATGTCACGTGGGAGCCGTGTTTAGTATTGTTCTTCCTTGTTTGTGTACGATCGCACATGTGTATTCGCTGCGAAACGACGTAAAATCGAATTCCTGATGTGTCACTATTTCCTCCCATTATTGCAGCTTTTGCGTCACGGTGTTTATTATTGCTTTCTTTTCTTTTTGTTTCCTTTCTTCTATTTACCGTTTTCCCTGTTTATGTTTCTTTCAAACCGTGATTTTTTGAAGTTGCAAAAAAAACAGGCAAAAATTTATTAATTTTTTTATTTCTCTATACTCTGTGTTTTAAGGAATAAACATTGATATCTAATTTACTTGATTTTTGTCTAACTGGAAGCTTTTTGAATCTAGAATAATTTAGGAAACAGAGAGAGGGTCCAAGATAAAAGATCTCGATTCCACAATCGCAGATTCGAAATAAATGCATTTTTCTCGTTCATCTCTAAAAATAGGAAATTAGGAATTATATAATTTGTTACTGCAGTATAACGCTGCAATATGCATGCATTTTCATCTCCGGTTTAATTTTCTCCGATATTTTCGATGTGACATTTTTTTATCTGTAACTAAAACATGATGATGATCCGGAAAGATTTCCTAACTTTTCAATAGTAATTATTTAAATGTTTCACAATCTTTTTCATAGTCCTAAACTTATAATATTTTTTTAAACTAATAATAAATTGTAAGTCTCGAGAAAACCTATGTTCTTTTAACATAAGAAATATGTGTTTCTGTTACGAAGATTAATAAACTAAATATTATTTCCGACATATGTGGCGTGTTTCCTTAGATGCACTTTTGATATATTAAATGATATAAATTAATTACAAAAAGTATTTCCTCTTTATTATGATGAATTAGGTTACTTGCATTACACTAGATTAGCACAATAAAGGCTGCTTTATATAAATGCAGTAGCATAATATAATTTTTAATTATAACTTTGACAATGAAATATATGTATTAATTCATATAACAATATCATTATTGAATACTTAATCATTTAAAATATTTAGATATGTTTTTACACACATTTAACTTTACTAATTTCATGCAATAGCAACTTTTAATATTCACAATAATTGAGTGTAATGCAAGTGACCGAATTCGTCATCAGATTATTTCTTAAATATACGTCTCGTGTTATATTATATAAAAAAAAAAATAAATTAATTATAAGAAACTAAAAGCATCTAGTCTCACCAGAGATTTCTGTTTAGGATTTGGTAGTTTATGAGGATGCTCCGAATCCAGTCGAGACATCCACGGATTCGCCTATCAGTCACATCACTTCTTTGCCAGTTCTAAGCGAGGCGGCGAGATTGGCCTTAATCACGCACACCGTTTCTGCTTATGCGGTAGCGCTACCGAAGTTACACGCGCAGAAGCTCGCAGGTCGTCTCGCGGCCGACACGACAAGATGGCTCAGCCACATCTTTCGCTTCGTCGACTGCGCGTCCTCCTTCCACGAAGATCATCTCGAGGGGCTGGTCAGGGTGACCCGACTCGCTCTACATCGAAAATATCCGCGTTACATGGAGGACGGCTTTACCGCCCTCGTGTCTCAACCTCCCTTGATTTACAGCTCTGTCGCTGCACCCATGGGTGTCGTTCAGCATCTGTGCAGACAGGTAGTATTTCTCGATCCTTTGGAACTAAGTATAAAAATTCATTTCAATTTATAAGCTTGAATATTACATTATAACGCAATAACATTTGTAAATACTAATCTTTTGTAAACAAAGAAAATTGTCTGAAAAAGGATCTCTCTGGAGAAACATTGATTGAAGATATACCATACAGCATGTTAAAGATTTATTGTACTTTTGCAGCTTTCCTTACCACTTCATTGCATAAGACCAATCCCGCATAACACTATGTTCGGTTCGAGGAACACTATGGATGTCTCAGCGCTGGAACGACGCTTAGCAGAAGACACTCAATCAAACAATGTAACGCCATTGCTAGTCCTAGCCGAAGCCGGTTCGGTACTAACGGGCCATTGCGACAATATCACGCGATTACGAGCAATATGTGATAAATATAACGTCTGGCTGCATCTCAGAGGGCATTCGCTAGCTGCGCTCGCGCTGAACAATTCGGCGAAAGATCTCGTAAATATTTGCATAATTTATCGTTAGTTAAAGTTTGGGAATCTTCAACATCGCTAAATATTTTCGAAGAATTTTTCTAAAAATCTCTTCATATATTACAGCCATCGAAAATAGCGGACAGCATTACATTACCGCTCGGATTATGGTTCGGTATACCGTCGCTACCAGTGGTTGTATCCTTTCACGTTTTTCTAATATTCATTTAACAGAATAGCTATAATGTAAGTAATAATCGTAATTGTTTTTTAAACTAGAATGTTAGAATACTCCAAGATTCCTAAGATATTATATTGTATATCTCTCGTATATATTTTCTATAACGCTACTCAGTTATATATTCCTTTGATATTTAATTATCTGTTACATACACATAGTCAATCATTACTCCTATTTTCCTTAATTTTGACTTATAGACTTTGTACAGATTAGCAGATATTAAAGGAGGAAGACCCACTCCGAGAGATACTACTCTGTCATTAGTTTCAGGATTAATGGCAGATTCCTTATCGAGACGATTGCCGACTTTGCCTTTGTGGACTGTTTTACAGGCTTTGGGTCGAGACGGTGTATATAATAGATTTAAAAGATGTTTCTTGGCTGTGGAAGAGATGTACAATAAAATTAAAGAATTCTCTTGTATTAGGATAGTGGTGAGTTTCTATAAAAAGGTGCATTTTCTAAAAAAAAAAAAAGAAGCAGCATCCCGTTGACTGTCAAAAATGTATTACTCATCTTTCAGAGTCAACCGCCTGGCGGCGAAACGGAGTCTTACGCTTTAAGTGAATATCTAGCAAACCCCGTGAACAATGTACAATTATTTGAAATAGTAGCCAACGCATTAGTTTTCCAATTTGTATCTTCGAATAAGAATCTTCACGTCACGGATCGCGTGCAGCCTTATTACGAAAAGTTGAATTCCTGGTTGGGACAGGTTCTTCAAAGGGATATTGACAATATACAAATAGAACTTTGTGATATAGAACAGTGTGGTGTCGCGATTCGCATTTGCCCGTTAGAGAATCCCGATGATCCGCCCACAACTGAAGATATAGACAATTTTGTAGCCTTTCTTGAGCAACAAATAGTAAGGACATTTTGAATCACATTAATCCATGTTCCTATCAGGCATGAAACAATAATCGTTATAATTCATTGAGTTTTTTTTTATGAGTAATTTTATTTAGCAAATTTTCTTCTTACATTTAACGTTAAAAGCATGGAAAGATATATCGCAATTATTTTCAATGATAGTCGTAAACTTGTTAATAATACAATCATAATTTTGTTCAACAGGAAATATTGCTAGCTACGGTGGAACACAAAGACATCTTCTTACGTTTAGTCTCGGAAAATGATTCTTTACATTTAGTGGAAATGCCAGGTTGGGCCGGTCTGGGAGGTGTGCGTTATGCTCCACCTACGTGGATTCACGTTATGAATGATCAGGCAAGAATAGAATTAAATAAACTGAATGCACGATTGGTCGAAACTTTACGCAGCGCGGATGCTGCATTTTCCCTCGGCGAAGGCACGGATGGTTTAGCTTGCGTACGATTTGGCATGATAACACAAGAGACAGGCAAGTAAACGTGCTTTCAATACAATTGTCATTTCATATATGCCTCTCTCATCGAACGATATTATTTCCAGATGTGGCTGAACTATTGTCTTTAGTCTTACAAGCTGGCCAGGAAGTGGAAGCTAGTTCTAAATTGATGGATACTATCTCCGAAGTAGTTAAAAGAGGTATCGAAACGGCGCAAACAGATCTAGAGAGAGAAAACGCAGAGAAACTATGGCAGGAGGGTATCCTCAGGCATGTTCCCGTAGTAGGAACTTTCGTCAATTGGTGGAGTCCTATTTCAAAGGAAACAGGTGTTCGCGGCCGTAGTCTAAATTTGCAAGCTGGTAATTATGGTCTCGGTACAACAAGCATTTACTTGTCATATTTTCTTGAAGAATGGAAATATTTATTTTAGAATAATCGTGATAAGATTATCTTACATAATATTTGTTAAAACAGGTGTCGTAGAGAGTACGGAAAATACCTACAGGTACCACATGCAGGTGCAATCTAATTCCACAAACAGTAACGGTTCCGGCGCGAGAACTCCGCCTCAACCGTTAGTGCAAACTCCAGTTGGTGCTAACAGTCAAAGCCACAGTCGATCGTCGAGTCATTCTAGCCTCCAGAGTGGTAAGAATATACCTTTAATAAGCAATGTCAGTTCCCAGCTCCAACTAAAGGAAGAATCCGCGCAAACGAAGTCGTAGTAAATATTCTACTACTTCCGATAAATTGACAACACATCGTTTCGAGTTATTAAACTTGGAATAAAAACTGCTTTCTGAAACGCTAAAACATTCCCTCTAGGAGGTGCAGTCTTTAGCGAAATATTAGACCGTAACTTGTATAACTTACCGATTGAATTAAATAGAACGAGATACGTGTGACGGTTTAATTTTATCTTGCTGCTGATACTTTGAACTGGCTGTTTCTCGCCGAAGATATTTCTTACTTTTACGAATATAAATAATGCCTTCGCAGACATTTTCCGCAAATTTCATAAACTTTATTATTTGTACTTTGTAAGTGAGTATGACTTAATCATGGGGTGGTCCATGTACTTACTAAATTGATACCAGCAGCAATCTCGCTTTTATAATAAATTAATAAGTTTTACTGAAATACCTCTTGCGGGCACAATGGCCAGAATAAAATAATTTTCTCTTCAAATTGATTATCTCTTTTCATATTTTATTAATACCAATCCGATAGCTAATTTATAGAAGAGTATATATCTCAAGAAAATTATTTATTGTTGATAATTTTTCTTTGTGTAATATTACACACTTTAACTACCAGCTAATAGTTAAGATATACATTCAGTTTTTTTGCCATGAAAATTATTTAGAAATTACTCTTTATTCGCGGATTTTTGTTTAAATTGCTTGCTAATTTTCAAATTAAGTTCATATTCTTTAAGTTTTATGTCTTTATTAAGCACAATATTGCAAATAAAGTAATAAAATCCTATATACTACGTTTACTTTATACATTAAAAATAAGCTATATGTACATCTTACCTTTTATGCAGATTTTGAAGATACTTGAATGAAAATATATAATAGAAACAAACATTCTAATATTGGAAAGATGTAACAACTTGCCAAAGAAACTTATATATATATATATATATATATATATATATATATATGGTATATATATATTCACCCATCAAGAAAAAGTCCGTATTGTTGTCTTATATTGTATAATTAATTGATAACACCAGGAAAATATTTTAATAATCAAGATCTATAAATAAATTGTACTGCATTAGGAAATTATTCATAAATTGTTAAAAAAATATCGAAGATGCAAATAAGTCAAGCAGTATGTATATTTATGTACCAAACTTGTAATAAAGCATTGCTAATGAATAAATAATGTAAAATGTAAATCGAAATTTTTTCGCGAAGTATTATGTAACAGATAGGATTCGGCGTTATGATATCAATGCGATAATTATAGATCTTATGTTTTTATTTCTCTTTTTATAATATTCATGTACCGTTACAATAGGAGGAATTAAATCCGGAATATGGCAATTAGACACAATCGTAATATACAAAAAGTGGTATCGATTAACGAGCTTCGTTCGTTCTTCGTTCATCTCCTACATATCTCCGAGATAAGTCTCTTTATATTACATCAAAATTCGCATAACCGCATATACAAAGAAAGACGCAATAGAACGTTATAACTTACGTAAGTTCTCTGGAGTATAGTCGAGTAGCCTCTACATATACTTTGTAAATAAATCTCTTTCGCGCAGTGAGAGAGAAATACGCAAAAAAGAAAAGATAGTATGTATATACTATCTGTATACTTTCACTAATAGATGTAGCGAGAGATGACACGTCAGGAATTAAATTGGAAAAATATCGAACATAAGATTGACACACAAAAACTTATGACAGAAATGAGCGTTTCATCATATTCTATGCTGAACACGTGTAAAATATTATATACTTATGCAATATACGAATATACGGAAAAACATTAGAGCCCTGGATTCTTCGACGTATCCAGTATCAGTCTTAAAGGGTGCACAAAAGCTTAGGTCTTCCGTGTTCCTTTCCTTTTTCGTTCTATCATATATTCGTATCTGTCGATGTGCGTATAACATTTAATCAAATTCTGCGAAATCTTTTTTGATTTTTCGTTTATTAACTATATCTTTCTTTTTTTTATTTTGCGATGAAAAATTGCCGTAGGCCAAGAAAATGCTCTGATTCGAATGAGTTTCTCAATGCCGTATATCATTACATCACTCCCATTATCTCTGAAAATAATGAGTTTCCGTTCTTTCTCTCTCTCTCTCTTCCTCTCTCACGCATACACATAATATATGTATATAATAGACGTATACACTCGCTCACATACTCTCTTTTTCTCTCAATCATCCAGATCTCCTTTTCTCTTTTGTTCGTATTGGTTGCGCAGATGCTCTCGCCTTCTTTTACACCACATTACGTTTACCGTATAAAAATGATGAGTAACTTAAATACTGCTTTATTCATTAGAAAAACTGGTGTGCAATGTGCCTCAGACTCTCGATTCTACTATAAAAATTGACAAACGATTACAATAAAGGTTCTGTTAACAATCATCTAAATTACAAATTCTTATATTAAGAGTTTAACAACGTTTTCTGTGTTCTACATTCTTTTAAAATACGTGTTAAACGGGTTCCTCGGTCGCCTGTAAGTTTTGTCACCAATTTTGCCCGGATCATTGAGCGCGGGTCAAATCTAGCAGAGAAATATTTTAGTACAATTTTCTCACCGACTAACGAACGACGTGTTTACTTGCAGGTCTTTAATCTGAACAATACTATGTTGATCCCGTTTTTGCGCGCTTTACTGTAAAATCTCGAGTAACCAAGGTTATACAGTATCTAATGTTCATCTTCAGTGTTTTATGAATTATTAAAAAAAACGAAAAGAAACAATAATGTAAAAAAAATGATGAATTATATCAAATAAATTAAAATTAAACGTTTAAATTTTTCCGTTAAATTGAGCCGTACATTAAAGTTTGTCGTAAATCAATATATATATATATATATGTGATGGATATTTTCAACAAACAAAAATGGAAAGCAAAAAAACAAAACTTTCAAAATAAGAAAAGTAATCGAGACATGCAACAAATAGTAATTAAATAGTTATGTTACAGACACAGCGCATATCTGCACTAAAACATTGAAGTTGGATTATACCTGTAAACTTTCACGATAAGCAATTTTTCTCTTAAAATCTAGAACATGTATCGAGGGGCAATGACGCACTAATATAGCTTTCGTACGTATTAATAGTGACGATACAAATATTCTTTGAGAAAAAAGATTCCTCTTTACGTGTCTTATATTTTTTTTTTGTTTTCTTCAAATTGAGCCGGGTTAAAAATTTGGCAAGAGATCTTATTGATGAATGTACACAACTTTATATACTGACTAGGATGCTTCTTCATCTCCAAAGTGAACAAAATGATATTCGTTCATTTGCTATTACGCGCACGTGACCGTGCGCACATTTATATATTTATCGTTGAAACTTAAATTAGCATTTAACTAAACTATATGCTACTAGTCTACGAGAGCTATCGCTCTGTAATAAATATTACAATTATTTACATTGGATTAAGTTCTTTTGCTATTCACGCTCCTCCTAAAATGCTCGGTATTGCGATTATATAATTGATTTTCACTCGACTAAACACAAGCCCTAAGAAAATCCTGGAAAGTAGTTTGCTTTAAATGCATATATTCCTGGAATGGCACGATTTTCCTTTCTGCAATCGAAAGTCGTGGTCAAATCAATAAAAAAAAAAAAATATGACAAAATGCTTCCACACAAAATCCGTAATAATATCTAAGATTCGGTTTTATCACACTTTTTACGTTTACTCAATAATCTTAAGTGTTACTGTTTTATATACAAATCTACTGAATTATATGCGGATGCCAGTACAAAGTCATTTGCGATTGCTCAAAATTTCTATCAACTCTTACAAACTTTTAAATGGTAATCAATTATAGAGAGAAAGAGAGATGTACCGAATATTATTGGAGACAGACATCCGTGGCAATTGAAGAATTGCCAATATCCAACCGGACACTCGTTGATACTCGTAATAGTAAACAACGCTGACCAAATCGGCTATTATTCAGGCACAAAATTTACTCTTCCGATACTCGGATTCGATTCGATGAGTACCCGATGATAACCAGATATTCTCTTTGCCAAATATATTCGGTATATCTCTGATGTTACAGAAGGTCTCAGGAAGACTGCACTCCGCAGAAAATTCAAAATATCGACCCTTACAAAGTACAGTAAGATTTAGTTTTTTTTTTTGCGACAGATTAATTTTTCCTTACTATTTTTAAAAAGAGTATTTTTAACTAATACCGCCTGTGGAAGTATATTTCCAAATATTTTGTCGTTGTTGGATATTCATTTCCCTTTCAACTTTTTTTCTTGTTTGCGCATAAAAACTGAAAACTCATAACGCCTGTGCTACCACTGTCTTTGTACTTAAAAAGTATATTCGCCTGAGCATTGGCAGTATCGAGCGTGACTTATAATCAATCGAATTCTGCCAAAGAGTCTCGTAAAAATCACCAGACATTCGTGCGGTAACTAGATGTATATGTATACGTTTTCACACACATATAAAGTATATTAAATATCTCTCACGGAAAATTCAACATAGATTCGTTCGGTTAAAATGTAAAAAGTATATAAAAACCGTATATTTCAATAGTTCCTTCATCATCTTTTGGTATCTCCAAGTCGCGATATATAACTCCTCGGTTAAACGTCACACGCGAAATTAACGGCTAATTTAGAATGAACAAGCGAGCAGTATCTCTGTAAACGATATCAATGTAAAACTTTGTGTGAAGGTTTCTTTCGTGCATGTTCGTTCATGCAGCTTTCAAGTCGACCAACAAACAATATAATTGCATACATTTAAGTATGCATTCCGGCCAGTCCTTGGATACTTCGCGCGCGGTCTAATCAAGAACGCGATAACAAAGAGGGAGAATAACATAGAAGGACGTACCACAATCACTGTACATGATATACAAGTACAAAATCTTGGATATAAAGTATGTCTCACACAAGTTCCTAGGTTCTCTAAAAATCTTTTTTACCCCCTCTCCCCTGATTTCTCTCACTTTTATCGCAGGTCTCTGAAATCAGTTTGCCGTTTTATTTTTCTCTCTTGTTTTATAGGAACTCCGAAATCGCATGTTCTGAATTTTAAAAGATAAAACTCTCTTTGTCGACGATGCCTCTACTTTGCAAATACTCACGATTTCGCACCTTCTTTTTCTCTTTCACGATTAGAGTTCCGTAACGGCATACAAATTAGGATCACTACCCTGTACCTGACTCAGCGTAGCCACTGTCGGCTTCTCTTGCCTTCCCTGCGCTCGATTGTATGTGCCGTACATGTTCGGCACCGTGTTGTTCTGCGGTGTGGTACCGTTGAACTGGCTACGCGAGAAATTCCTATCCAAAGTTCTGACTTGATCTTGCATTTGATCCTGAATGCGAATGTTAGGCGCCTTGTTCCGCACCAACGATCGAAACTGATTCATGTTAGTCTGCGAGCGCGACTCGAACTCCCACGTAGGTTGCTGACTCGCGGGATTCGGCGGAAGTGGTCGATTTTGATTCCAGGCCTGAGTCGGACCTCTCTTTAGATTAGCCAGGTTTTTCGGATCCAGCGTTTGCGTCTTTCGCGAATCCTGAAAAGTGGCAAGATGCGCGGGCCCGTGTGAATTATGAGACAGGGTACCGGTGAAGGAAGCCACGCTGGGCGTCCAAGGTGGTTCTCTACCTGTAATATGAAATGTAACAACACAAATGTAAAGATGAATGTCACATACGCGTAAAAGTATTAATTTTTGTATTTACCGGGCCCTGCGGGGGCGTGCCCTCAGTAAAAGTCACTAGATTCTAGCGTCTTGCACTGTTTGCTCAGAGTCGCGTACTGGCCAGGTTGATCTCCGAGTCCAGAACGGTGCTCAGTCCGTCCACCCGTTGATTGCTGATTATGCTGAGACGATTTGTGATCCCCGCCCCCTCCGCTCCCGTTAACACCCCCACCTCTGTAAATGGCGAGGAAGAACGAACAAAGTTGCAGCATTATCTTTGTTTTATGTAATGACCGAAATCGTTTTATAGCTTATCTAAACATAAATCCAAGTTCAATCACGCCTGCAAAACTGTCTATATATGTTATATTTATGTTAATAAAATAGGATTATAAAGCGCGCTATGCTATTCTTTGTAACAATATTGTATAAAGCAATTAAAACTGTTATTTGCTAAGAATAATATTCTGTTTCGAAATGCTTAATGTCTCAAAAACAGATATTTAAAATATATAATTAAATACATCAAATATAAAATTAAGAATGGCACAGTTATTTATATGAGATGCAATACATTTTATCACGTATATTCGTCAAAAAGCATGTACTAATATATAAATATTGATAAAAAATTGTATTTTTAATAATGATGAAACTATGTATGATAAAGCAACATTCAAAGGAGACGCATTGAATCTAATATGTTTAGCGCGATATGTTAATTGATATCCTTAAGTAGCTAAATAAATTAAAAGAGAATAAACTGAAAATCTCATGCACAAACTTTAACATGCTCTCGTGCAGTTGACGTGCTCGAGCAGTCGCAGTAGCGTAGGACGGTGGGGGCGGCGTTAGCAAGAGAGGCTGCTTAATCGTATTATGAGTGCCAAGAGCATTCGAATTAAGCATAGGGGCTGTAGGCGGGTACGACCCTTGGCCTCGAAGGGTCCTTGCTGCTATCGCTTGTGACGCTGCTGATGGTGGTAAGTAAGGATCTTGCTCGTCAACCTGATGATAATCCCTTCTGGAACAAATGCATTGGTTATTTAATTTTCGGCACATACCATAGATTTTAAAAAGAAACACGAACGGTGCCTGCTGCAGCATCGCAATAAATAGCAAAATACAAAAATAAATTTATACTTAATATTCCTTCCTCTTTCTAAATGGTTCGCTCTAATGTGCTTACCGTTTTCGTATATATATCCACGTATGAGAATCCACCCAAACCAATACGGTGAATAAGAGACCTGCAGCTAAACTGGCTATTAGCATAAAGCTCAATCCATACCTAGAACACATTATAAAGAGAAACATTATAAGTTTATATATCACACACATTCTGCGTAAAATCGTTTTAATTAAAATACGAAAAAATGTTTTTTTCTGAATTATAATTAAAATATAAGAAGATATCGACTTACAATCCCAAGTGACACAAACTCTTGGCGGCGTGAACGTATTGTTTGTGCAGAGGTTTACAATCGAGTAACGTGGATAAACCAGGCATGAGTCTGTCAATGGTATTAACGTCTGTGGATAAACTGCTGAGTTTTGGCTGGAGCTGTTGGTCTTTGAACAATTCTAGCGCTAATTTAGTCACCGTATTCAAATTATGCCTCATGTTATCCACCGCACGTTGCGTATCTCGCAATCTCAGCGTGAACGGATTGCTTCGTGTGTTCTCACAATGCGTGTAGTATGAGAGTACCTCAGAGGCTAAGGTTGATGGTACGGCTCTGCTCAAGTAACCATCGGGTGAGACGCAGAGATCACCTAGAGCTACAGAAGTGGCCAGATATAAGGACGCCATGAGCCAAGAGACGATAACCGCAAACAAGCCGAATACGGAAAATCTGAAAAAACATTCTATTAGAGTGATTTTATAATTTCGTAACTCTATAAATATGTTTACTGAATAATTTATAAATGTATAGAGGACGATCTATTCCTCTGCTCAAGTTTACAGTTTTAATGATTTTATTCAAACGTTTAAAATAAAAATGCGAACAAAGATACAAAATACTATATGGAGAATACGAAAAAAAGTTTCTATTCTTATTTTAATCAAAGGAACGTACGTTATGAGAACACATCTGGAATGCCGCGCAACACCAACCACCAGAACTACGCAGAGGACAAGTAGAGCACTCAAGACCGCCATAGTGATAGGCCATCGCAACTGCTCGATCTTCTCACCCATCCCGATGGCGCCGGCAAGACTAATACCGCTCAAAGGTTTTCGTATCTCAAAACTCCGATTTACAGCGATGCTTGTATTTTGTTTCATGCCATTAAGTGCCGCTAGCAGCCAACTTAGCATGGTTTTGTTACTGACCGGGGCATCGAATTCGTCTCCGAGAGCAGTTAGTTGCGGCTGCACTTTTCTCTTCAGAGTTGCTTCTATAGTGTCAGTCTGTAAAAAATGTATTTGTTGATACTTAAATAGACATAAAAATTATTTTTAACTGTTGCTATTTAAACTGTTTAAACTGTTTTAAATTATTTTGAAGGTTAATGTCTACTTATACGTACATACACTTAAAGAAAAATTAATTATTGAACACTAAAAAAATCTTTTTTTTACTCAAAAATGAGGGATACTTTTTTCTCTTTCTATTGCGATCTTTACTTTTAAAATCTACTTACTGCTATGTAATAAAAATTTGTTTATTATGTATCATATATTATGACAAACAAATATTAATACATTGCGAAAAACAGATAGGGAATATACCTGATTTCTGACGCCCATAAGGATCCCGTCGACGTTTTTCGCCGCTGCTATGAGTTGTACCAAGCCGTTGTGTACGTCGTCATTGCCATAAAGACCAACAGCCACTGCTCCACTACACAGCAACGCTAGGATGGCCAGCGAAAACTTCAACGCGGTTATCGACTTCTTGGGGCGCGGCCTCCGGTCGCAGCATCTTGTTACCAAATAAACCAGCAATACCAGTAAAGTTAAGATCAACCAGGCTGCCGGAATACTTCCCAGTATCCCGAGGCTCTGTAAACATTACGTTCGATCATAGCCTTTTTCCCTGCTTTGTAACTTTACATAAACTTTATGTATACTCTTATGAAAGAAATTACTAAAGAGCTCTAAAGACATTTCCAAATGATATAAAATCCATTTATTGGATTTCACTCGTCAAAATTTCATAAAATTAATAATTGCCTGTTCTGTATCTAGTAAAGTTTTTTGAAAGTAAATATCTGATTTAAAATTTAATTAAGGAAAAAGCTTTCTTGTGTTCTCAATTCGAAGATTCGAAGAATAAGTCCGTTCGAACAAATAACGTTGAAAAATTGGTATCGCGCCAAAAATTTTCTCGCCTTCACTTCCTACTCTAAAACGGCAGTATTATCAGCGTCGTCGTACATCGTCAAGAACCGCATTGCAACGCTATTTCAGGCGCATTTACGTATTTACTTCGTACGAGCCGCACTTACGGCCGTCTCGTAACTTCTACCGCTCTCTTCCTGCCTCCCTCGAGGCTTTTATCTCATTTCTCGGCGGTCTTAGCTTCGTCAATCCACCCCGTCGACCCGCATGCATGACGAAAGCGAATGCTGGCGAGACAAAGTTTCACTTCCTTCGTCGGTGGTTATATCTCACCCTAAGTCCGCCCGACTTCGACGGCTGAGGAAGACGAGCGAAAAAGGAGGAGGAGGGAACACAAAAGTGTGAGGAACGCACGGAGAACACGTCGCGGAGAGAGGGCGGGATGTGCTCCGACGTAGTTCCCGAAGATGTTGGAGCCCGTTGCCGTGAGTCGCCCCGGGCACATTATGCGAAAGCCTTTGTGCATTGTTTAAGCTTTCCCAGGCATTGTGCTTTTCAGTTACACTCACGGGGTTCGGATTCTTGCCCATTCGTGGTATCCACCTGCCCTCTTCTGGCCTTTTTTTCTCTCCACCAACCTCTCGTCCTCCTTTCTTCTCTTTCTTTTTGTCCTCTTCTTTTTCCCGTGTCCTCGCCATGTCCCGCTACTTTCCATGGACATGTGAATCGTTTCTTTCTTTTTTCCCTTTGCACTATGTACGAGCATACGGCACCTTCTTTTCTGTCGTTACGTCGCCAGATGCTCGCTTTCTGGATTCTTATCCGTTTGTCGATGCGAGATCTCCACTTACGGCCCGGTAATGCAAAGCCGACCTCTCCAGCCGACCAAAGGCGATAATCCAAAGTGCCATTGGCGTTTGTGGTTGTTAAGAGGATATCCCGCGGGATGACTGCCGGAAAATTCTGATGTTCTAAGATTGAAGTACTAACAGGAATTAGCGAATACTATTCGAACGGATAGTACTCGGTTAACATACTAATGGCCGCTTATACAACGTTTATGATGTTTTCCAAGAGACATAGTGTAACACGGTGACTATTTCAGTTTTGTTTAACATTGGCAAACAAGAATGTATATAATGATTCATTATATCACAAAAATAAACAGAAAGAAGCATTAAAACCAACGCAAGAGATTCTCTTTTACGATTTAATTATATTAATTTACTTAAATATATGTATTATATATACGCATAACCGTGTAAATTTTGGTCTCAATTAGGCCAGCCTCAATATGTTAATAAAAATTTTTACATGAAACTAAGTCAAAATACAAACGTAAATATATATTTGTGATAAATTTTCTACCTATTTATTCGTATTATTTGGAAAGTGCGTATAATCACTCATCTAATTTAATATATAAATTGTCTAAAATTGTTAACATTTTGTTAAAAAATGTATCACTAGATTATACTATGTCATTTGTGTCTGAAAAGTATCGATCCTTAAACGCGCGACTAAAGGTAGAACGCAAAGTATTAAAGAAGATTGGGGATTGGAATTCGATTCGACGTCAAAAAGGGACGTTCGCGATATCTTGTACGAAAAGAGATTTTGAATATCAAATGTTTGTATCAGTTGTACGTTTATTTCGGAAATACATCCAGTCCAGATTGGAAATAAGTCGAGCGTGCTGATATATCCTCCTGAAGACATTCCGACGGCTATCAGTATACACGTCGCCGGATATGAATGCAATATTTATCTTGAAATTGCCACCAAGGACCGTATAAAATCTGGATTTTCCGTACAATTCGCTTATCGATCCGTGCGAAGCTTAAAGGCTTCAGCCGCGCGCGGCCGATTAATCGGACGCACTTTGTTTAAATCCATGAGATCGATTTTGCGCACACCATGGTGGCTGCAGGCGAAGGGAGTGCAATCGGGGATGACAATTGGGGCCAAGGAAGTCGGAATTGACGGATTCGTGCCGAGCGAACCTACCTCCAAATAGATCTCGGAGTGGGGATTGAACGTATTATTGACCGAATGTAAAGAGACATTCAGATGCGGCAGACTATGGAAGATCCTCGCGTATTGTGGTACTGTGTACTGCTCCGGAAGCTGTTGACCGCCCGCCATAATGGAGAACCCTTATCTGCCGTGAACGAAGCGCCTGTCCTACTCGTCAAGACATGCTACGCGCGAGCGCTGTAATCAGAAAATAACAGATTAATTGGATGAGACTTTTGGGAATCTGTCGGAGGCGTGAGAACGGTAATGACTCGACGTTGCGTCATCGAGCGTTACAAAAGTAGGGCCCGAAGTTTTTGCGATGCTTAATTGAAGGAGCGTTCGCGCCAGCGCGATATTTCCAACTTCCGTATTTGCATAATCGAATAATAATTCCTGCACGATGTCGCACTATCCACCGGTTTTATATCTTTTATACAAATACATTTGCAAGCTCGATCTGGAACGTGAGCTATTAAAACTTTCTTCTACTGTTATCCAATTACGTCAAGTTTCAATTGTCCTCTATAATTAAATGCGCGCAGGTTCTAGTTGCGACCCGAATTATTTGACGTGTTCTTTCCAACATGGAGATAAAAAGTAACAAAATACTATAGATCTAATATAATAAATCGTGGATATGCAAACTTTTCTTGGAAATGTGCAAAAATTTTTCTGTCGTATCATCGTTTAACAAATGTCATTAATCCTCTGTCATGATTCCAGCTAAATGGAATAAGTTTCGTGTTTCACCGAATATTCGTTTTTATGCACATATAAACTTCGATCATTCTACGGCCTTCGTTAAATTGCGTTTGGATTGCGTCAGAATCGTGCCGACAATTAATGAGAACGTTAATTATCCGGAGATCATCGACGTTTCTACAAATCAATTAAAAAATCAAATTAAAATAGAATGAAAACAGAATCATAGTTTAATTTTCATTCGCGAGCCATTTCGCGCGATATTTCCAGCGATTCAGGGGGAAGAGAATTACTCGCAATTAAATCAAATTTTCTAAAAAGGCTCATCGAGAGTTTTAATTCGATTATCATTTCATTAGCATATTGCGCTAGCTTCCACGTTGCGCCCTTTCGTTGCGAGTCACGATTCAATCTTGGCTAAATACGCCGACGTCACTCAGTGTCGCAAAACGTTTTACCGTAGTGATTCAACTCTTCCGTAGTGGAATCAACGCGCGCTTAATTAATGAAGTCTGTGCCAGCTAGCTCTTCCATCTCTCTCGCCTCATTGACATCACTAAAGCGCGCCGAAAGGATTCCCGAGGTGCTTTTTAGCCATCAAATCGACTGAAATAGGTTTAATAAACTCGAACACCAGCTTATAGTTAAATCTTTTGAAAAACTTGGAAGTTTATTTCGTCTGCGTACTCTTCAAATACATTTTCTCTTTTATATTTTAATATTGAAGTAAGAGAACGGGCTTAAAATCGAGTTACAACAATAAACACAATTATTTTTTTTAAATTAATATAATCTATTATATAGTAATATAAAGAATAAGCCAGAAGATATTTAATATCTAAATACGATTGTACTTATAGTTTCGAAAAATTTAAAAATATCACGCGTGCAAGCAAAAAATTACACCCATTTCATTTATCACAATTTTAATTACAAAAAGCACACTAAGAATTATTATCGATCTCATAAGACAAATTGTTAAATTTAGGAAAGAACAATAACAAAAACACGCTTCATTTATCTTGTATTATTAAAAGCACATTGATAAATTAACACCGTAATTAATACCGCGTGCGTTCTCGCCGTGCTAATAAATAAAACACTCACGTCCGCGTGTCTCAATCGGATTTCTGTAATGATATTAATGAAAATTAATTCGCCACATGCGAACGTATTTGCATGTTGCAGGATCAAACATGATATAACGGTCTCTCAGCCGATTAGCAATGCGTTTTATATGCATCACGCTCTATATTAAGCTTCAGCAGACACCACCGCGAGCAACAAATACCTATCTCCGTAATAAATATATCGCGGATCGATAAAGTGCAACGTACACGTACGGTTTATTAACCCACTTTCCCGATTCCATTCTATCCTTGAAGCGTCAACATCGCCAACAACTCCGTGCAGCACGCTTCCAATATACCGCTCGGCATATTCAAAGCCAGAAAATTCACGACGGTGCGTGTTACCCGATCTCAACAATAGCCTTGTAACACAATAAACACTTCCTTATTGCGTGATATATCACAGTTTGATATTTCGAAATGAAGAATAAATAATCTCAATCGTTTCTCGTACACGCAAAATCCCTCCCGAGGCGGATGGAATCATTTAAATTGCAAATCAAATGAATGTACACTCTAAAAAATATGGATGTGGATTAAAACTACGGGTTCGAGAAGTATGGTAATAATCCACATCATATTGATGTACCAACGTTAACGCGAGAATTGTATAAACACCGCATGGTCGGCATTAAATCCACATGTGTACAGTTTTTAATCTGGGAGTAGTCACCTGAGATATATCTCAGTCGTAAAAAAAGTGTAAATTGTTATAAAACATTGTTTTATACGGATGTTAACGATTTTTATTTCTCTTGTTTAATGATTATTCCTTGCAAACCTCTAAATATGCGGTCTGAAAATCCATAATATAAAAAAGCTTTATATATTAAAACGAGAAAGAGAGAGAGAGACTGAAATCTTTATTTTGTTGAAATATATACTGTCATAATAAGTTACTTAACGTGCTTATTCCGTTTAATATTAGCTTTCTGCTTACTTGTTTCAGAAAATTGTGATTAAATCCATAACCGTGGTGTTCAAATACTGATAAATCAGAAAAGTATCAATAATATGCAATAGTTGTTAATAACAGGAATTTTAATTGAAGTACAAAAATACCCCGGATGATTACGTAAAATAAAAAAAAATGAGGCTGCTCCCCGGATTAAAATGAAACAAATATCGCAATATGGTGAACTTTACGGTCTGCATTATGCAACTTAAAAATCCTAAATATACTCGGCGACGCGCGGATAATCAATCCATTTGCAAGGAGAGCTTCTATTATTATTTAAATTTCCTCTCGCACTGTTAATTTCATCGGGCACAAAAGTCAAACCGTGTGAAATATTCGGGGTGGTTCAAAATTCTCTACTTTGCACTCACACGCTGAGCAGCTATATATGTATATATGTATGTATATTCGTAATAAAACCGACAGTTCTCTATCGCCATGCCGGAAGAAACCTGCGGTTCGAGTATCACGCGCATTTATATTGACTCACCATCATGCGTCATTGTATGAGTGATAAATAAAGTCATCGTCAATCATACCGTGATTTTAAATGAAGGCTGCTTATATTACCACCGTCCACTTAAGCTGTTATCCTGCCTCGCACGCCGTCATTCTTCTATAGGCTTGTCTTTCTTTTTCAACGGGGTGCGACACAACGCATTGTTCCCCTTCGTTTCGCAGGTACAGAGTGCACTGATTTCGTTTTAATCGTTAAAAAATATTCACAAAAAGTCAAATAGTGCACAAAATTGCGTTACTTGAATTCAACCTGATACTTGAAGGACAAGATGGAAGGCTAAACTTATTTAACTTATGTTAGTATAACGCAGTTCGAACTTAATATTAAGCCCATCCGCTTCGTGCAATGTATGAATTTATACAGACGTTACAGTCTAGAAGTCGATACCCTAGTTTCGAAAGTGAAACTCAACTAAAAACTGTAATCAGCTGTTATCAACTCTGGCACTGGCACAAAACTGTGCGATAGTTAAATAGCGATGAGTTAAAAAAGAATAAAGTTAAAAAATACGAGATAAACACGAAAAGTGTAAAAACAGGAATGTCAAGTTTCGTTGATAGAAACATCGTGCTGCATTTGGACTTTTAAATAATTCTTTTTAATGTTTCAAAATTACTTAGGCATTTAAAAATATCGTTTCTACTTGTATTATAGGTATATATAACATAAAAGAATTAATATTTATTTAAAAAATTATAATTATGATATTTTATATAAGTATATTTTCGATATTTCGATCGTAAAATAAAAACTATGTCTAGACAGTGAAAATATATCTAATAAAATCCAAGTTTAGATTTTAAAAACTCTAACTTTAGAGTGAGAAACAAACTAAATCTTCTATTATAATCCATTTGTGTCGTTCGTTTTATTTTCTACGCTCATCTGGCTTATTTTTCCTCCTTCCGTCCGAGTTGGGCGCGACAGCTATTTCATTTTAAATACACAAAGTAAAATATGCATGTAACGCGAATTTATGCTTCGTCTGGCAATATCGAATGAAGGATAAAACTGTGCTTTGTCACAAGAGACAAATCTTCCGGAAAATAAATGATACGAAGCTTTTAAATGAACAATAGTACCAATTGAGTTCTCCTCGTGCCTCGATAAATATCGATATAATATTATTAGTGCACCTTTATTATCCTTCAATCTACCAGCGTTTTAACGATATTTTTATAACGAATTCATTTTATAAATTCATATACTGCACTTATGCACAAGTCTTTTAAATGGAGCTTTCTCGCACCTGTTTCTCGGGGCATAAACCCTGAATAAAATTTTCATCGTTCCCATGTGCCTATACAACGTAATCTTCCGCTCTCAATGGAGGAACAACAGATTGATCTTTTTTGACATTAAAATAGTAATCGGACCGCCTGCTGCCGACTCGAGCGCATCGCAAATCGCGAATTGCGCGCATCACCGCGTGCAAAAAGTCATCGACCGATCACGCTTGCCGGTCGGCATCACGACATGCAAACCGCTACGATCGATTGACTATAACGTGACTATAACGTCGCCTATGGGGCCGTACGGTGACCCCGCGGAAGACTCCAGTGATCGAGGATGACCAACGAATTATATTCAGGATCTGTAAGGAATTATATTCAGGTATTTGATAGGTCGAAGAGACGAGCTACGCGAAATTAATCGCGATCGCGAACGTCGCGCCGAAGCGTGATTCAAAATTAATCTTGTATTCACAACGAGACGAGTGATAAGAGCGAGTGATAATGAGAAATTTTTGTACGTCACTCTTGCTGCATCGAGATTCTCGACATTGAGACGATTATATTGCCGTGTTAACATTGTGGAATGTTGAACTGCAATAATCAGTCAAGTCCACATGGAAAGAACAATTTGACTGAAGTCTAAAAATTTAGCTAGATACAGAGATCTGTTAAAATAATTTTGCTGAACCGTCTAAATAATTACGTAAGAATTTCAAACGTGATAAGTAATGCTGTAAAAAGTTTTGATATTCTATGTAATAACCAGTTTGAGTATTCTATAATTATTTGGATGGCCCGATAAAATTATTTTAAGATCTGTATCTAACTGAATTTTTGGATACTCTTTAGCAAGATTACTTTTTCTACATCCTCTCGGAGAGAGAGAGAGAGAGAGAGTAAGATTCGTTCTTATTATAAATCTTGTTAAAATCAGTTCAATCTTGTTACGTTGAATACATTTAAAATAGAACTAGAGATTCTTGTCAATCTTAATTATACTTTTTTAAATTTAAAATCTAATAAGTTGATCTGTGATTGATGGAAAGAGGTAAGAAATAAATTAAATAACGAACAAGCATTGAGAAAAATTTCTGGTTAAAAGTCAACCAGAAGATTCTGCGATCATACTAGAATGATTGTCTCAATTAGAATTGTAAGATTTAACCATAAAAAATCTAATTTATCCATTTTCAAGTAGAATTCCAATTAATATAATCGGACTTTTTTTTTCCAATGCGCGTTTAGACAATACATTACGAAGAAGAAAGAAAAACGCGACGGCAAAATGGCAAAAGAATCCACGCGACGCTTTCTGGTCGTACTTTTCAGCACTTTGTACATTCAGGAGGGGAAAGCCGTACGTCTTCAGGCCTTACGGAAGAACAGATAGCGGCGAAATGTGGCAAAGTGTACAAAAGCGTGACTAAAATAGACAGAGCCATAAAGGCAGAAAGAGCAAACGGAAGAAACATAAATGATAAGTATGTTCATGCGGCACATACTTTCCGCATTCCTCTGCCATCTCATTCTTCTTCCTTCCGTATATCTAGGCGGCGTGCTTGTTTGTTTCGTGATGCAATATTTACGGGATTGTCTCTCTAATACTTTCTGCACATGTATTTTTCTAAGACCGTCTGTACTTTACAAGCTTCGTGCATAATGCACCGCGTTTCCACGCCTTTCCTCGGAGAGCTTCCGCAAATCGACATCGATAAGAAACGAGTGGACGTCTGTGAAAAATTTCAGTCGAGTGAGAAAGACGATGAAAAATGGTCCGCTCATTCGATTCCTCTCCTCTTCTCACAATGTGACGTTACTTGATTATATAGAGGATTCGATTAGAGTCGTAGACTAACTGATTTGTTTACGATCCAATATAAATCGTCATGCAATATTCTCTACGTCAATTCTCTGCAATATTCATGAAGTTTTTATCTTGAGACAAGTGAGATAAAATGAGACGTGTTTTTAAGTTTTTTAATTATCCATTTCTCAAATACGAGTCTCGCTAATTTTTAAACATTAAAAAACGATTTATGTTAATGAATTTGAGTCAATCAAACTTAACAAAAACTGATTTCAGTAAATTCTAATCTAACACGCGTTTATTTAGACATTGATTTTTTTTTTAACTTCGAACTGAAGTTTCCGAAAGTTTTTCGAAAAAGAGCAACCCTTTCTTTTGTTCGCACAGATCGCAGTTAAAGATTTCGATCAGACTTCGAAATGAACTCCAATTAACTTATCGAGTACTTTACACCTGAAGTCTTTGATTGACAGAAATAGAATTACGTACTTTTTGTTTAGCAAAAAAATTGCATTAAGGACGAATTGTATAGCTAGAAATGTTCCCGGAAACAATTCTGCACGCAAAGAATGTTTTTGTTGAAATATCTAAAAATTTAGCTAGATGCAAAAATAATTTCTTGGACTTTCAAAATAACTATGAGGATGCTTAAACTGATTGTTAAAATGTCAAAATACTTCAGAAATATTTTTCATCATGTGCTTGAATTTTTTATATAATTATTATGATGGTACAACAAAATTGTTTTCAATATCTATACTTAAAGGGTCTTAGATTAATTGGAATTCTGGTTGAAAATGGGTGAGTCAGAAAATTTTCTTAAATCTACAAGAATTTTAACTGAGATAACTGGAATTCTGATCGATATAGTCAGAATCTTCTGATTTATTCGATCATTTTCAACCAGAAATTTTTTTCATGAAAAAATCTAGTAATTAAAATTCTGGTTAAATATAGACGAATTATAATTTTTTTTTAATCTACGAGAATTCTAGTTAAGATAACCGAAATTCTGATTGATACGCGATCATTCTGATTTATTCATAAACCAAAAATTTTTCTCATAAAAAATATCTGGTTCGATTAATTAGAGTTCTAATGAAAAATAGACGAATCAAAATTTCCAGACTAAATCTATTAGAGTTATTCGATCAGAATTTTTTGTTTCGTCCATTTTCAACCAGAAATTTGTAGACACCTCAACGAAATCATTCTTTCCGGGTATCTTGCCTCTAATTGTCATTCAAGCCAGTCCGGAGTTCGGTCGAAGAGTCGTCCCGAAATCTCGCAGCGTCCCCCCTCTCCCCCCGGAAGGACAAGATCTTCCCCCGAAACCCAAGAACGCCGCAGGCAGCCTTCATAGATAACATTCTCGAGTCGCGGAAAAAGCAAACTAGAAGGTCGGCGCACGCTATCGCCCGCTAAAAAGTCATCGACCTATCGTAATCGCCGGTGGTAAACTGCCTCGTTCGGACGCTCGCGTTCGCCACCTTCGATCATATCGCCGCTCCACGCTCGTCGTTGTCGCTCGTCGTCGCGACGTTTCTCCGACTCTGTACTGCCTTCGAGACGTCGCCTCTTGCGTTGCATGCGCGAGGAAAATGGGTCCGTTCGATAACTCGGCGGCGCGGTATAGAAGGCGGTACACATCCGCGTCTGTATATCCGCGCGCGCGAGACCGAACTCCTCTCGCGAGGCGGAAAAAGGCGGTTTCGGTATTCGCCTGCGTCTCTCTCTCTCTCTCTCTCTCTCTCTCTCCTCTCGCTCTTCAGCCCTCGGGCTCCGCATGCGACTTTGCGAACACCCGGCTTTTACGAGCGCCTCTCGGACCACGCTACGCAACATCTGGTGGTATTTCTTTGGTTACCGAGGCCTGCTCGACGAAATCCAACTCCGCGACCGCTCCTCGCTCTTTCTCTTCCTCTCTCTCTCATTCCCACGCACACAGGCATACAACCGACGCGCTTCATGGGAAGCCTCGCTGTGTAATGTATTCTTGCACCCACACATCGTCATCCGGAGTGTGTACCGTGTATCGATCCCCGAGAGTACACACGAAGACGACCGTGAGCGCCATCGGGCTCCTCTATTTCCTTCCACTTTCCTATCTCTTTCTCTTTCTCTCGTTCTGTGTGTATGCATCGTGTCGTTTTCTCTTTCTTTCGATCACGTTTATCTCGAGAACGGAGGGGGCCGCTTCGTTCTTTGTGACGTCCGAGAAAACGCACGCTGCATCGCACAGAGACACGCTGCGCGGCCGACGGTATATATCGTATGTATATATCAGTTAGGGCGAGTCCGAGAGAGAGAGAGAGAGAGAGAGAGTGAGCGGTCCGACCGGCGGTGGGCTCGCGTGACAGAAGCGCGACGGTGGTTCCACCCCCTTACTCATCCACCCTCACCCCCAGCCCCGCGGGGGAGATTCAACGGAGATCGCTGGCATCGACGACGGGGGTCGTTTCGCGACGACGAAAACGGTTTACGAGGGACGGTTTACCTCTTACCTCGTTGTTTTTCCTCTCAGTGACAAACCCGCCGTACGCTCGCGTACGTGAATGGAAATTCCGCGACATACGACACACACCCGACCGTAGTCCAAGCCCGACTGACGAGAATGACGGAGCGTAGGCGACGCGACCGCCGGGGTGGGGCGGCCGTCGCAGCCAATCGCGGTCCCGCTTGCGCGCGATTCTGTGGAGGATTTACGGGCCGCCGCCAGGCCGCCGGGCCGCCGCGCGCGCTACTCCACACTCCGTCCACGTCCGTTCTCGTTCGTTTCAGCTCCGGCGCTTTTCGAAACGGGACGGGACGGGATCCGCACATCCATGCGGGCGGGAGAGGCCGACTGAAACGCGGAGTCGCGGACCGAACGGATGACGCACTCGGGACGGCTTCGATTCCGATCGGCGACGATTCATTCAAGACTCCGGCTCGCGCAATCCTTTTTAACTCGTGCCTACCATCAGTTTAATTTGAATCTTGCTTCAACTAGCTCTCCTCTTCTTTTTTTCTACCAATTCTAAGAATTGGAAAGAGACGAAGAGCATAGTTGAACCAAGATCAATCTTGCATTGGCAGAAACGGGCATCGGAAAAAAATATTTATTCCTGTTTTGAACGATTAATCTCGGTTTGAACTTTAATCTCGATTTAACTTACCGTTTATTTTTTTTTCTGATCCTAAATATTAGAAAAAAATAACTGAAACTAAAGTTAATCTTACACTGTTGGAATCAGGTTTTACATACAGATGACAACTATAAAAGTGATAACTGCAAACTTTTTATGTAAAATTAATATATGTATGTACATAGTTACTAAATAAACTGTTTTGTAGTTGTTGCAATTATAAAGTAATTTATTCATTTATGTATATATATATATATATATATATATATATACACACATGCACATTATTTCATTTATCTATGTACATTAATTCTATATATAAATCCAATATATGTCACCTTTATAGTTGCGATGTCATAAATATTGTTTTTCTTTGAGTGCATGCTATTCACTTCAGCCCTGATCTCTAATCTTTCTTCCTACACATTCCCGTGTACCGAACAAATGACATTTGATGTTATCTATGTTAATAAAATAATTCAAGATACTTAATTAAATTAATTGGAGCTTGACCGCATTTTCGGTGACTCTAATTAACTTATCAAGTAAATTAATTGTGCTATTTCGTTAACATAAACAGAATTACTCTTATCTTGTGTTATTTAATATATATAGAAAAAAGAATTACAAACGTTGAGTTGTTAAACCAGATTAGAGACACGAAAATATATCAGCAGTTTGATCTTAAATAAATTTGTCAACTGGGTTAATCACTGATTAGACTAATCATATACATAATTATCAAATAATACTTTTATTTTATTAATATAAATAATATATTAATTTATTTTAAATATATAAAAATTTTTAAGCAGTTCTGTCGGTCAAATTAATCACTAACTAGATTAATCAGAGTTTGGTTACTCTATAATTTTTATGCTGGATGTACCTTTCGCATTCCCTTTCGATTCTTCCTCTTTTTCTATCTTCTTCGTTTCGTTTAAATTAAAAACAAATTTTTAACTTCATACATTTTATAATGTAATTGTAATACATAATTTTTAACGTCATATTTTCAACTTTAAATATGTTGATGTCAAACTCCGGCTCTAAGAATTAAACAAACGTTTATTTTTTCGCGAATCGAAACATAATCACGGAAAGGTTGAAGTAAAAAAAAAAATGCTATTTTGATGCAGAACGGGAAGAAAAACATCTCGCACTTTGTCTCATCGTATTTATTTTTCAATTATTCAAATTATTCACGATTTCCGCCATATCGTCGGTAAGATATCAGAATTGCAGCGCCGTCTCAATTACTTAAGTCCCGTTTTATTTGGTCGATAAGTAAAGAAGTTCGCAGAAGGGAGTTACCGCTAATCCTAAAAAGATATTCAAAAAGACAAGGTATGCATATATGTATATATACGGTCCAACACAACGAATTATAGAATATCACGATATCTTTTCCCGCTTCTCTTTGTAAACGTGTAACAAAATGCAACGAACGACAAGAGCCGTAGATCGAAGAACGACAAAGTTATATGTACTGCAACGTGCACAAAAGTGGAATGACACATTTCTTCCGTATATATATATACATATACATCCTCTATTTATTTCAATGAAAGAGTAAGTAATATTTAATGTATATGTGTGTGTATATGTGTGTGTATCTTCTCAGTCGATTGATGAAACTTAAAAAAATCATAATTCGCGAGTAATAAACACATTTCGTCGTTTGCACTTTAATTGTCGTTTTACTAACTACCCGTGTCCACGATACGTGTGACTAGTAATAAATGTTAATTAATAAAATAACTTAAACATCTTTCACTCATATAATCTTGTTATGTATACATATATATATATTTATAAATTCTCGCTTTCACGCTCGCGCTTGTTCTCACGTTCGCACTTTACTCAACATCCGATTGGAATGATTGTTAAAATTGGGAGATTGAAGTATATTCAATTGTGTGAGATAAGAAACCAACTGTGGATTTGTCTTGTCCTCCGTTATGTAGAAAAACCGTATCGCTCATTTTTCTTTTTCACATTAATAGAGCGCCGTGTCCACACAGTCATTGGAAGAACTTGACTGTAGGCTGTGATATAAACTATAACTTTCACAAGTGTTTCCTAAATGAGATTTCTTAAATCAGACGAGGATATTGTGGAATTAATGTTACACATTTCGGTGGCTCTCGCAAAAGACAGTCTCGATATCTAAAATAAAACGCTTGTTGTGAGTAATACGTATGATTAATGTTTAATAATGTGACGTGTGTGTATCAGTATTAATTACTTAGATAAGGCCACTAGTGGATGATACAGGTAGAATATAAATATTACAGTTATAAGCATATAGATTCTCAAAGCAACGGTCGAGTAGTTACACAGTATGTCCAGAAACGATCATTCGTAGAGAAAATGAGGTGTGCATTTTTAACGCAGGATTTGTAACGTACAAATTTGTTTTTCGTTATTGTCATATACTTTCATTGTAAGATGACACGATGCGAACCCGACGTTTGTCGGTCTTGGAAATATATTTTTCCTCCTCTGGACATAGGTAGAATTTAGTTGCCTATCGCATTCAAGATATCTAACTGTATAATATAAACTAAAGGTTTCTTTCCCTTCTCTTAAGAATATACGCGATTTTTCATATAATGAGTATAAGATTTGTCTTTCTTTTAAAAAGCTATCTTAGCAGCTATCATATAATACAATTCACGCGAGCTGTATACAAACATGGTATTACAATTACAAAAATTACTAATGCCTCGTATTTCTATTCATCGTTCGAAAAATCGTTTGAGTGTGGATTTGTTACACCTCTTGAAATAACATGCGCGAAGAGAAGCACGCCGCTGAAATTCATCATTCATATCGGCGTCCATGAGAAAGCGATTTTCTATATAAATTCGAGGTGAAGGAACGACCTCTTTTGTCGTCTCTCGACGTATCGCGTCCTCCGTTCAGTAATCGAAAAATAACGGATTTATATATACTCTATCGGAATTGTCTTTCTTCTTTTTTTTAATCTCGCCACTCGATGTTGTTCAAACATCACGGCACACCAGGCACTGTACATTGAGCATTGCTCGAGCCAGACCTCTCAGTCTGGCTTATATTGTGTGTTACAACGTGGATTCGTGTATCACCGTTGTATTCGGATCACTGCTAGCAGTCTGAATTATTGCTGGCGGTATGTGTGGCGTCAACGTGATGGATGAAGTCTTACGCACAGGTTTCGGGGAGGCCTGCAATCAAATATTAATGTTACAATAAAAATTAATCGACTAATTTATTTTTATCATTTAATATTAAAATCCAGTGTAATAACTCCTCTATCGCACACACAAATATATCTGATTTGAATAATAACACGTATTACATACCCATTCTCTTCTGCAAGGTGCTTCGTCGTCTGAATAATGATCGATTTGCCCAATATCAGTTTCCGTCACTGCGTTCCTCTTCTTTGGCTGCAGAGTCGCGTAGTTGCCGCAGCCTCTGGTGAAATTAGTCATATTCTTCTCCTCGACGATTTTTTCCTGGCATAGTATCTCTTGGGATTTACTTTGCTTATTGTTCGTTACATCACTGGTACTTTTATTATTAAAATAAAACGGTGGCATTTTCGATACCCAGTGATCCAGACCAGAACCAGCCGAGCTCGTCGACGCCGCGGACGAATTTCCCGTCGAGTTATTGGACAGGCCTCTTCGCTGGTAGAACAGCATGTACGCCGAGTTTGTGATTAGATTCGTGTCATTGACCGCTTCTACGCGTGTGTCATCGAAACAGTACCACTGCGTATCATATGGATTTCTGCAAAACGCCGTGTAATGACCGCCTTGTAGGTCCTGTCCGTGATGATTACATATCGCGTAGAGATCGTACACATTCTCGTCGTACTTGGGAATATTGTGTTGCCGCGGTCGTGGTTTCTTCCAGGGCGACCAACCCAGACCGCCCAAGCTGGTGACGTTATTATGCGTCGTCTGAACTCCATTGTGAGCGAGATGTGGCGTCATGTCGAAACCGTACAAGGGAAAGTCCACTAGCATAGTCAGCTTGGACGTTGACCGTTGCTTAGATTGCTGACGAAATCTTTTCAAGTGTATGACTAATATATCAGGCAATGACCAGAGACCTAGCTTTTTTACGACTTCTTGTTTCTTGTTGCAGTAAGGACAATGCCACGCGTCCTCCGCGCCTAATATTTCTGCTCGCGTATACAAATCGAAACATTCCTCTAAAGTTACCGCGCCGCCAAGCTCGGAATTAGTTTTTAATTGTTTCACGCTGGCGTGTTCCTCGATCTGATCACTGTCGTCCTGTATAATATTGCATTTGGTAGCCTCGTCCCATTCAAGGATCAACTTTACATGTTGCGGACCCGAGTCGTCGGCGCAAAGCGCCAACGCTTGCTCGATCTGCTCCGTATAAAGAGGATGCTCTACGCAAGGATCGATACAAGGATGCTCATCTTGGATCGGCGTCGCTGCCGGATCAGCAACGCGGATATTGAAGAGCCCAGGGCTTTGGCTGGTTGTAAGAACGTCATCCGCCAGCGTGCTGTGCATCTCCTTGAGCAGAAGCTTCTGCAGATCCTCGTAGGACGTCTCGCGTGATACCTGCATCGTGTACGGGCTGCCGAAACGTTGCCTCAAATCCCCCTTTACGAGAACGTTGATCCAAACTAGCAAGATATACGCTTGCTCCGTAGGTTCCTTCAATTGCGGCAGCTCAATGCAATAAAGTGGATCGTTTTCCATGATCACGGATAGAGGCTGACAATCAGAGAAGGTTCTGTAGAAAGAAAATAAAGGACATGTATCATTCTTTTTGTTTCACTATTATAACATAAAATATTTTATATACAAGTCGATTAAAAATTTCAAAACAATAAAAAAAGTTATTTTTATACTTCCGCATTTTTCGTAATACGCGAATAAAACTTGTTTTTACAGTATAGTTTGATTTATTTACTGTTTTTCTTTAGAATTATAAAAAAATTGACAAAAAATTCATCACAAGATTCCGCATTTTAAAAATACACAATTCTCTACGTTCACTTTTCCACAATACTTTTTATCCTAACATATATTCTAATCCTTAACCCACCTTACGTCTACCATGAAATTTATTCTGAGCGCTAATTGTTTCCCTATCGCCTATAGAATACAATATATATTTTAAGAAGTTTTTAAATTGCAATTTAACCTGTGAAATCCTTCTTCGTGAATCTCGGTCAGTAACATGTGATTCTCGTCTACGCCGGTGTCGCTGGCTAGGATTTCTCGGAGTTCTCTCACGTTGGCTGCCTGATTCACACTCACACCAATTTTGACTTGCCGCGGCTGCTGCGATGTGTAAAGGACGTTCACATAGAGATTCATCTGCCGATGATTCTGTGGCACCGGCACCGACACGCACAGGAAGGGGTCGAAGGTGTTCGACTGTCGGTGGCATCTTGGACAAGTCAGACTAGACCGGAACTGCGCTTGGAATACAGCGTGTACGAAGGAGTTGTTACACCGCACATGATTCGCGAGCGTCTCAGCGGCGACGATGTCATCGGGTCTGCCAAATGAGTTCTGCAAATAGAAAAACAAATTAGAGCGTGTTAAACGATGTTAGATATGTGATTTGTAAACATTTTAATAGAATGAAATTATTTCAATATATCTATCGCTTCCCCACTTTAAAAGTAATATACAACTAAAAAAAATTACATTTTTCAGAAAAAAAGGAAAAACTTTTTTCGATTTGATAGAAAGTTATTCACTAATCAAATAATATTGAAAAAAAATTATACTCTTAATATGATCAAATATTGTTTTTATCATTTATGTTCCACAATCCTTTTAAAAAAAACATATTTTTTATAATTATAATGACTGACGATTTTTTAAAATCACTTTTTTTAATTATCACCTGTTTTGACAATTTTTTATAAAGTTAAGTTAATTCACTTCTAACGATTGATAAGGTAATATTCACCTAACTCATCCATATAATAATTAATAATTCGAAAATCACGTTTTTTGAAACGTGTCACTTTTTGGAGTAAAAGAACAATATCTCGTTGTCAATTTTACTCGACAAGCAAACGCATCAAGTAACGAGTCGAGCTCCTCTTTTTCTCTTTTTTTTTTCGCAGTTCCATTTTGCAGTGCGGTTTATGTAATCTGGCGAAATGGGTTTGAGGCGAGGCCGTCTGCCACCGCGACCACGAAGCCGTACGCACGCCAGCGACGGCGGCGCGTTCCTCGCGAGTGTGAATCCCGGAGCGTGTGGGGTCCGCGACCGCCCTCCTTCTCGATCCGACGTTAACGTGAAACTCGGTTATCGCTCAAAGCACATAACGACAATCATCCGTAACGCGTCCGTGCTCTATTAATAGATTGCCGCCGTCGCAGCCGCTACTCGCCTCCTTTTCCCTTCACCGAAAGGAAGACACGCGGAGGAAGCATCAGGAGGAGGAAGAGCCGACCGAGCCCGCTAACGAACTCCGCGTGGCTTCGCCACAATTGTCGCCGACATGCTAAAACGCTATGCGCTCATTAACGTAAGCCGTTGCACTTAGCGACCTAACGTCGCAGGACTTGATGCACCGATTGCTACACGATGGAGACAATGAAAGATCCCCTTCGCTTTATTCAACTTGACTTCGGAAATTCGACAGATGACGAGTCTTAAAATAATCCATAAAATTGCAATTATTGCATAAAACCGGGGTGATAAGCTCCGATAACGATTTCGCTATTCGATAGAGCAAAGCTGAACGATACGATCAAGTGATATCTGATATGACATAATTCAACGTATTACAAACCAACCTGCGCTGCCGCGCGCATTCCGACATTTTATTATTATGAACTAGAGTGTGTTCTTCGCGTATATAAACATTTTTTAAGATATCCCGAGTGTTTAATTCTATATCGAATAAATTAACAAAGTATTATTTTCTTTTATTTAATTTTTTAAAATTCAATTAAAGAATTTATTGAGACTTCTCCAGTTTTGTTGTTGAGTGCAATTTCGTTTCACTTTGTTGCAGTCTGGTTTCAGTCCAGCATAGATACGACCTCCTCTTAATAGGATAATAAATATCGAGGTTGTGCGTTTTCGTAGCCTTCGAGTCGGTCGCAGACGCGACTTCATAGAGAGCTACAAGAAATCCGCGAGGTAGCGGTATATCGTGGCATTCAACGCATTGTGGTAAAACTTTATTGCCTGCAACTATTCGAACTTACTGCAAGTAGCGCACATCATATAAGTTATAGGAGTCATTATTGACCAGCCATTCGCACATTGTACGTCTATTTTGTTACCGCGCGTAAATGAGATATAACAATCCTTGAAAGAAAATCGATACCGTCAAGTTTGCAAATAGCCGGCGTTTTTAACGTTATAATTCCCCGATAAACCAAATAAAATTAAATAAACTGAGGAAATGATTAAGAAAGACAGTGAGAGAAAGAGAGAAACATGATAGAATAATAATAAGCGAATTGGAATCGATATGTTAACACATCAATTCCAATAGAATATGGATATTGACATTTTCGGTCAACGAGCGAGATTCTTAATAATAAAAGCATAAAGGCGAAAGATATGAAATTCACAGGTATTATTATTAGATTCCGTCTGACGATCGAAAATGTCAATATTAATTTAAACAAAGATCAATATGACTCTCAATTTTAAATGATACAGTTTTAAAGGTGACACACAAATCCAAATTTTAAGAACCAATATTGATCGTGTCACGTGCTGTGGAAAATATAAGACTATTTTTTTTTAATATATTTAAAGATAGCTGTGTGACTTAAAAATAGCTTGAAATTGAATCGAAATGTTTGATTTCTTAAATAAGCTGTGTGATTGAAAATTAATAAAACTTTTAACTCTTCTAATTATCATTTAACATTAATACATCCCACAATAAAAGAAAATTTTGAAGTCATATTTACGACAGAACATTCCATTATATAACGTAAAAGCTTTGACACAATTCCAATAAGTACCAATGAGAGATCGCACTGGAATGTTACGTAATACCTCGAGCAACATATTTCAATGATGAAAGGTATCGGGTGACCCTCGTTAACACAGAACGTTAGCGACCGGCACGCAGAGCTTCGAGGACACGTTCGCGCTTTCCGAAGCCGTGTAATTTGTAACACGCGATGAAAAACCGCAGAATGGGATAATCACTGGAGTGATCGCGCAGGATGTATCAGCGATCCGGTTGCCGGAAGTAATTTCCGATGCGTACGGCTGGAACGACTCGCGCTCACAATTGGTCAATGTCACGCCTGGTGCACGTGTACCCGACTCGTAAAACCATAGTTACATTCGCGCATATACATGCCGGTAACCTTACAAATATCCGACCGTGCCGCCAATCTTCCTAAAAGAATGCTGCTAATAGATCAGTCGGAGATGCATTAGAAACACTCTCCGACCTGTTTAGCGCGACCGAGTTCTCGCAGAAACGAGTTGCCTCACATAGATGACATTCGATGGATATCGTAACGTTGCACGGAAAGAATAATTTTGCCTAAAAGATCTAAAATTTTGCCGAACATAAGCCTGAAAATATCTTGTTGAACCATTAAGATAATTATGTTAAAAACTCACAAATTACTCGTATGAACAATGCTGCAAAAAATTTAAAAGTTCCAGGAACCAATTTTTATACTTTGCGATATATATTGTTATTATATTTATATATTTAGTTTATTTTATAAGAACGTACAATCACAAAACTTGAAACTTTATATTGATTAATTTTAGACATCGTGGCCAAAATTTTGCTTGGTCCAAATTTTCCTCGAGAAACGTGTTTTATCGCGGGTATGTTAAGTTAGCACCCCAACTATAGTACTCAGGAGTTCTGATTAGAGTTTCCACTTCCTTTTGACGAGACGAAGAGTTCCCTATAGTTAATAACAAGAGTTCCGCTCAATAAACATTTTTTTTACATTTTTTAAAAATGGGGTGCTAACTTTTTATCGAATTTCGAGGTGGAATAGTTCTGAGCAGCTTAATAGCTTCAATTTGCGATTGCCTAGAGTTCCTGATATGTAAAAAAAATTTTCGAATAATAAAAAAAAAATTAAAAATTTTTGAAAAATTAATTTTTAGATACAATAGTTCTGATGATAATTCCTGCTTCTTTTTGACGATACGAAGAGTTCTCTATGATTTTTAATGACATATGCGCTTAATAATCATTTTTTAATAATTTTTTAAAAATGGGGTGCTAACTTTTTAACGAAATTCAAGGTCGCATAGTTCTGATCAGCTTAACAGAAGTATTTTGTGAATACCTAGAGTTCTTGATACATAAAAAACATTTTTGAAGAATAATAAAGTTTAAAAAAAATAGTAGAAATCTTTGAAAATTTTTTTGAGAGTACCGAGTAGTTCTGAGTAGCGTTTCTTATAGTACTCGACGAGTTCTATCGAAAACTGTAAGGTGAAAAAGCGATTCGACCAACGGTTTGCAAGATACAGCGACATTTGTCGGAAGATCAACAACTTTTAGAGTGAGTATATCTCGGAAACCGTTGGTCCAATCGCTTTGAGCCCTGATACTTTTCGACAGAACTCGCCGAGAACTGTCCAAAACTCCGATCAGAACTACTCGGTACTCCCAAAAAATTTTGACTTTAAATTTTTTTCTAAGTCCCACGTCGGAAAATTTTTTGAGAGTACCGAGTAGTTCTGAGTAGCGTTTCTTATAGTTCTCGACGAGTTTTATCGAAAACTGTAAGGTGAAAAAGCGATTGGACCAACGGTTTGTATGATACAGCGACAGAAGATCAACAATTTTTAAAGTATATCTCGGAAACCATTGGTCCAATCGCTTTGAGCCCTCATACTTTTCGACAGAACTCGTCGAGAACTGTCCAGAATTCCGAACAGAACTATTCGGTACTCTCAAAAAATTTTCCGACGTGGGACTTAGAAAAAAATTGTTGATCAAAAATTTTTTGGAAGTACCGAGTAGTTCTGATCGGAGTTCTGGACAGTTCTTGGCGAGTTCTGTCGAAAAGTATCAGGGCTCAAAGCGATTGGACCAACGGTTTCCGAGATATACTCACTTTAAAAATTGTTGATCTTCCGACAAATGTCGCTGTATCTTGCAAACCGTTGGTCCAATCGCTTTTCCACCTTACAGTTTTCGATAGAACTCGTCGAGTACTATAAGAAACGCAACTCAGAACTACTCGGTACTCTCAAAAAAATTTTCAAAGATTTCTACTATTTTTTTTAAACTTTATTATTCTTCAAAAATGTTTTTTATGTATCAAGAACTCTAGGTATTCACAAAATACTTCTGTTAAGCTGATCAGAACTATGCAACCTTGAATTTCGTTAAAAAGTTAGCACTCCATTTTTTAAAAATTATTAAAAAATGATTATTAAGCGCATATATCATTAAAAATCATAGAGAACTCTTCGTATCGTCAAAAAGAAGCAGGAATTATCATCAGAACTATTGTATCTAAAAATTAATTTTTCAAAAATTTTTAATTTTTTTTTTAATATTCGAAAATTTTTTTTACATATCAGGAACTCT